GCTCAATGAAAATACTCACAACTCGGTTAGGAGAAAATCTTCAGAGCAGAAAAAATTTAAGGTAGGGAAGCAATGTCTAAGGTATTTCCAGCGTACATGGCCTGAGCGGAGGCCCAACCACAATGGGCGAGCGTGCTTCTTAGTAGACGACGATTCCTATAAGGGCTCATGAACTGGCTCCGAGATAACTTAGAGACTAGAAAACAATCGATAGAGATTAGAAGAGGAGGAGAAGCTAAATGTCAAGCCTGGGTGCGGCGTGCACCAGTGGGCGGAGTCTGCAAACTTAGTTATAACTCGTTTCCTGGAAGTCCCGGGGAATTGTAAAAAAGTGGGTAGGGGTTGACGGAGGGAAGGAGGTTAACTGCTGTTGGCGAGCGGGGCATGTCTTGAAGTAGGACGAGTTTGCCATGAAACTTTATAAGTCGGTTCCTAGAGTCCGGAGTTGGGGAAAAAGTGGGTAGAGGTTGTGGAAGAAATGAATGTCAACTGGCACCATATCAAGGATATTCCATGAACGATTCTCTGTTAATTCGGCATGATTGTACAGTCGCAGTTTCTTCTGTTCAAGCCTCCGAGATTGGTATATGTATATGATTTTATTCGGCTTACGTTTCGGCACACTCGCCTTCTTCGGTCCCGAAGGTGCGGAACACATGTAAAAAACTCACCGCACGGCCTTCAAGCAACGGGTGCATACTAACGCCCAGCTTTTTAAAAGGTTAGCGGGTTACGACATCGCTCATGGCTTATTCTCCCTTAGTTTTTCTTTCCTGTAATACGTTGCTTGGACGAATTGTTTCAAAAAGATGCTTCGATTTACAGGCTTCGAAGACGGTGAGTAAACGTAAGCGGAATAAAATCACATACCAATCTCGGAGGCTTCAACGGAAGAAACTACAACTGATGGTGACTGTCAGCTGCCATCGGTGGGCGAGGCATGCAACAAAGTGGGCGGAGTTTGCCACGCGGATACATCGCTCGATTGCGCTCCTTACAAACCTCATAATACGGTTCCGAGATGACAGTTCAAGTAGAGACCGGGAAAAGGCGAGGTTGAGCGTAACGCTGGGAGTGCCACACCCGAAGTGGGCGGAGTTTGCTAACAACTCCTATAACTCGGTTCCTATGAGTACCGGCGGCCGGGAAAAAATGTGGACAAGGATTGATGGAGGAAGTGGGGTTAAATCTATTGGTGGGCTAAGTGTGCACCACGTGGGCGGGGTTTGCCACAAAAATCCAAGACTCATTGGTCTCCTGCAAGAACTCATAATTCCGTTCCCAGCAGTCATAGATCCTCGGTACCGCTCATTCCAATGCCCGCCATGCCCACTGTGGGCGAGGTTCTGCTCAGCTGATGTATGCTTTCAGTTCTCAAGATATGGTACACCCATCCCAAACTTGACCCAGACCCTGTAGGTTGTTGTTCGTTCAGTACCGAATTTCGTGACAGACGGACAGACAGACTGACTGACTTAGCGCATCATACATAGTAGGGATTGCATTCTTTTGTCTACTATAGCACTATTAGCGTATGACTTCCAGCCATACATATTAGGGCTAGGGTAGTTTTTTTTTCATTCTAACTTAGGCCATCTTGATTCCGTCATAGGACCAACTGCCCTCACACAGGAAAAAACTGTTGCCGCATAAAAAGAATCCATAGTGACGGGGTGGGGAAGGGACGGGGCGTGAAATCAATTTCGACTTTTTTTTCTAGCTTCATTAAAATTGGACTGGGAAACGTATGTAGGGGTCGAATTTGAAAACCGACAAACTTTGAGAAATCTAATTTTTTTTCGAACTCAAAGGAATATAGTTTGTCTAAACTAGGAAGACTTTCTGCTCCATTATAAGATATCAAAGAAAGTTATACCTCATTAACAATTAACGATTTAAGTGATATTTCAAATTGAAGACCAAGAGATATTTTCCCACTTTTTCTGACTTCTGGAAGTTGGCGGCAGCTATATGCATCGAAGTCACTTGGCATTTAGGTTCGAAATTTACAAAGAAATAGAATTTAGATTTGTTTGAAATTAGGATACTGCTCCAGAGGTATAGCTTTAGGAGAGCAAATTATTTCAGCACACGTATTGTGATGTATTAGTAACCAACATTCTCTTTGGCGAAAAGTCAGGAAGAGGTTAGCGCAGCAAATTATTGAGGTCAGCGCACAGGCAGGTCAGTAAGGCGAGGACATTACAGTAACCCCTTAATTGGCTTACGTATTCAGCTATATTCTAAGTTCACACGCCCCCCCCCCCAGCTGCCTCACCAGGGTTGGCTCGTGACTCTGCTGCAAGCCCATCGACGGGTACCAGGGTCAAGCAGTGCGTTTTGAGGCGAATCCTCGGACACGTCACAGGAGGTGGGGGAGGGGTCATTTTGGCCTGCTGGGAGGAAGAGATCGGGCAGGATTGATTGCAGTAGGACCATCACTGTCGGACGACAAAGATCAAGGATGAATGCATTGGAAGGCTCAGAGGCTTACAATAACAAGTTTATTCCCCACACACAAATTTTCGTGATCAAGGTGTCTGCGTAGTAGTAATTCTTGATACTTCAGTGTTCACGACGACACAAGTGGAAAAAATCCGAAATTTGCATGTTTTCCAAGGTACTTTATCTTTTCAAGCGGTCCTCAGATCTGAACGGATATGAAGCACACGGCGCAACCCAGAGTGGGCTCAGTTGTTGCGCACCTCCAACAGTCGCGTTCTTGGAGAAAGGCATCTCAATTCAGGAAAAATTAGGTCATTCTGAGATACAGTATCAATTCATAATCATGTGATCGTTAAGGTGAGGAACCGCCGGACAATTTTACACTTCTTGAAAGGAAAAAGCATGATGATTGCTGACGTTTATCTATCTGCTCCTACTTAGTATATAATCGCCCCTGAAGGGAGCTAAAGTCGTTGAAATATTGACAATGCAGCGAAAAAGTATCTTTAGGCAGTACTCGGGCAATAATCCCACGTAGCCATTTTTAACAGTAGACGTATGTAGCAGTTCTAATTACCGCTTAATAGAGCAAATCTTCGAGTTTATGGTGACATATAACATTTCAGATTGGATGAGTTTGAACGGAGTCATGGCTTGAGAAAGCGTGAAAACTCGCACTCATCACGAACTCCTCGTTAATTTTGCAAAAATCCTCAACGTGGCCATTTTTGAATACTAAATGCATGAAGCTGTTTCAGTGAACTTTTGATAGAGAAAATTTTTCGGTTCTATTCGCTATTATTAACTTTCCAGAAAATGATCGGAATGTGTGAAAACTCGTACTCATCATGAATTTTCCTCGTTAATCAACCTGAATTTGTTTGTTTCTATGAATTTTTGTAATTTCAACACTGATTAGAGAAAGCCCTTTACAAAACTTCCAAATCTGCTTTCGGATTAAAATTCGTCATATCTGAAGGAAGTTAGAATCATTGAATATATGTTCTAAATTTCAATAGTGGATAATTTGCTCAAGGCTAACGCAAAAGATCGGTCAACACCATATGGCTGAGGCGATTATAAGGCTTTTTTCAAGTGAAACGGGGACGTGTGAATCAGAACCATACTCTGCGTAGCACAAAAATTTGGTAAGTCTTGCGAAGGAAATAAATAATGAAGAAATGTTGTAATAGTATGCCATTTTTTAGTGGTTAGTTTGTCGTTTTTTGCTCCGTTCTGTTTCTCGTTTGGTAACTCATTAATAACGACCATTCTTTGATTTTTCTACTCTTGTACGTCTAAACGTCTTTAGTGGTGGAGGATGGGTGTAGTAGGCTTTTTTTATACAGTTTTGGGGAGAGAACTAAACGAGTTTTCATAGTTCGGCTTGTGAGAAGGGTCGTTTCATGGACGTCGGTCTGTGGGGGGAGGAGTTTGCTTGACCCTGCTGGGGTACACGGACTATGGCTGCTTAAACATTGACGATAAGGCAGGGGACATACATATATACCGCGCGTTGCCGGCCATGTCGGACCGTGTGGGATATATGTATATCCCCCCCATTACACTCATTTTTTCGCGAACGAGGCTCGCATTTTTCGCGCACGTCTTTCAGAAGTTTCTTGTATTCATTCCATGGAAGATACTCTGACGTAGCTACAAACATAGTGGCCCATAAAATGGTCACGTATGCTTTGATTTAAAGATGGATTTCTGAACTATATGAAAGAGCTAGCTCTGACAAATTTCGCTTTTTCATTGTTATTCCATGTCTTCCGCATCAAAACTTCACTACTGTACCCCTGGATAGGTTGTGCTCATTGCAGTTGACCGATCTGGTCTTGTTACTAATCATTATTTATGTATCTATCATTGAATCTGCTTGAACAACCTTAGGCGGTCGCGCTCGCAAAATCGCTCCGGTCCCACGTAGCCAAAATACCAAAACTTGCATCATCGTCAACGTGTTACCAAAAAAACTTGCATTATCGTCAACGTGTTAACGTTGGCGGTAAGGGTGCATCAATGAGGATCGCATCTACGCCTAATCAATGCCTACTGTCTATTCTGCGTTTATAAATATTTTTGTGTCAACGCTTTGTCACGTAAAGTACCATCAGCGAAGTATAATCGGAGTTCCTACGAGCTCTGATTCGTGCTAATGGAAAATGTATCTAATGAACTTGCAGCTGCTTGGTGCTACGAAGCCAAGTACACATTTGTGCACATTCGTTGTGCACCAATGTTAACAGCGTTCTCTGTCCCAAAATATTACCTATTGATATAGTGTTATTTCTTATCATATTTATGGAGCACTCTGTGTTCCAACAAGACGTCATATCCACTAACTCATTACTTTGTAAAAATTATTCTGCCGTTCACAATTCCCGCAAACTATGCACTTTTCTCACGCTGGCGGCTTCTGCTTCTAGAGTCACAATGCCATTCACAATTCGATCACAAACGAAATTTCGCAATAGAATGCATGCAATTTGTGCCCAGCTTTTCTTTGAATGTTTCAGATTTCTCGAAATCCGTCGAATTTCAGAGAACACATGCCTCAATCCAGTATTAGGTTGCTATTACTTGTTATACTGCTGCTCGTCGCTAATGCCGTCGACGGGGATATCCCCACTGGGCACTCTATTGCTGAAGTCGATGGAGTTCACCATCTACTCTACCAAGGCGACATTGTATTGACAGCGTACGTGAGAATTTCAGTGCGAACCATTGTTTCCTAAAATGCCATTATTGAAGTGAACAAACGAAACAGATGGTTACGGCCACAGACAGTGGGAATCGCGTTGTTAGACATCAGATAAAACGTCAGGCCATGGCATGGAAGGAATGGCCATCAAAACTTTGGAAACAAGGAGTGAACTACTATTTCGACTCAACCAAATATTCAGACCAGTTCTTGTGTAGGCATCACGCGCCGTCATGGCTCAACTAGAATTTCGACCAGCAATACAGTAAGCATATCATTTCAGATGACGATGTTAGCGATGCATTTAGAAAAGGAGCAAAATTATGGGAAAGTAATACCTGTATCAATTTCACGGAAAATCCTACGGGTGAGGGATAAACAAATTTTAACCTAATAGTATTAGGTTGTATCATAATTAGTGGACACTTGCGTCTTTTTTTTACCTTTTTTTTATATGTGCTGCTTGCCCATCTAAACATAAAAGTCTGGAGTCTTCAAAGTTTTGCCTATACTTGGGGATTTTGTCACTGCTGCACTGGGATTCCATGAGCTTTTAATCAAAGAATGACTGGAATTCGGGTCTAGGGTCATGCCACTTAGCTTAAAATTTCTTCCTAAACAAATTTGCAACAACCCAGGCTAGTTCGTTTTCCGCTAGTGTGAAGATAGGGCTACACGGCGAAATATACTCCGCATGGTGGGGTCGAATGACGACAGGAAAAAAAACAAGACCTTGTCTTGCTTCACTCTCAGCCTCAGATTGGACGCGTTGCCATTATACCGTCGACGTTTGCCTTGTTCACTGACTCTAGTGATACTGGGCGGCGGTCCCCAGCGCAAACTCCCTTTCCTGCTCCATCGATTTCAGAAGTATCGGACATAGAGGAGGTTGGGCTTCTGTTGTCAGAACTCCCGAATCATTCAACTTGAGCTATTGCTCTTTGTATGTTTGCCCACTCACCCACTTCACAACATTGGTGAATGTGCAGGATGATCACTGAAAAGAGCTTTGAGAAACCAGAAGGATCACGACGATGCCAGATGGTGTTTGAAGTGATTTGGGCTCAACGCATGTGGAATACGAAATAGATATTTCCGAATCTTTACTACTCAATGAGATGTATCACTACTGTCATCTTGACAAGCCGCAAGCGCTCTGGTAAATGACGGCTAGCATGTTCAGGCTACTTATCAATGGCGTCCGATAGAGCAATGAGATTGGCAGTCGCGAGGTGTTTAGGGTTTGCGTCATCTTCGATCAAAAAAGCCAACCTCTAAATAGAGTGCACCATAAATGTACCGTACGTTGAGGAGCGTGCCCTCATCTATCCTCGTCCCTGGTTGTTCCTCTACGTTGTTTGGCGTAACAAAATCCTAATCACAATGGTGCAAAAGGAAGCTCAAAAATAGGTTCCAGAAAAATCGCAGTTTCAGTCACACAAGGCAAGATGTGAACGAGCTGACTAATTGCTTAGGTAGGACAATGTGGGTACTATCAGGCAAAACATGTTTCGCGCCTTCAAGATTTTTCTTGAAATTTTTATAGCAATAAATGTAAGGTGGTTCAGTAATTATGGGGCAGCCTTATACACATGGCAGCACTAGAGAAGTTTTTCAAAGAGAAAGTGAAAAGACACTAATTTAGAGTAAAACAGATGTATGTGAAATATGAAATGATTATTCAAAACGAAGGTAAACAACATATCATGTCAGAATCGAGAAGCATTCATTTTCTATGTTGTCGTTGTTGCAATAGCCAATCTTTCAACTCGTTGGAGAAAACCTTATTCTTTCAGCCAAAGACCGAATAAAGGTGTATCCGGGACAAGGATGTCATTCCTCTGTCGGCAGAGACGGCGGCGAGCAGTTGATGTCGATGGGATATGGTTGCACATATACATACATTACAGCTCACGAAATCGGTCACGCCCTTGGATTCGTTCATACCCTTGCGCGTCATGACCGTGACGACTTTATCAAGATCAACAAGGAAGCTATTTCGGTTAGTACTTGACTTCCATTATGACACCTGCTAATGTTTCAAGAGATAGCAATGAGCATTGAAAGTTCTAAATGATGTCACAGAATCGGCTAATCGCTCGGTAGTCTGGAACGAAAAGCTTCAGCGAAATCCTTCTCTGATAAAGAGTAGTTTTCACAAGGTCGACCATCCCTTCGAACTGTGCGATCGAGGGGGTCGCATTTTGCTTGTGGAGTTGGGATGGATGGCAAATCTGGGATTGCAAACACGGGGCCCACTACAGAAATCGTGGCGATATGGTCACTGGTAAATGAGTTGGAAAAGATTGCGTAAAAGAAAACTTGGGATTGTACAAAAATAAAATAAAAGTTGTTTAATTTGAAATTGGTACTAGGTGGTCCCATAAGTTCGTGCCACTTTTCTGGGCGCCACGCCAGATCTGCATTTAGCGATTCTGAATATGACCAAGTAAGACTTCCAAGAGCCTACTTCGTGAAGTCACCTATACCCTGAATCATACCCGCACTAGCTGCTTTCTTCGAATTCAAGATTGAAAAATAAGGGATCCATGCTCACGCATGATTTATGAGCTTCTCTGAGCTACAGATCGGTCGAAGCAGGGAGTGACATTTGGTTTGCGATAATCTCCTTATTGTCGTTCATCATTTGGTATCAGAATGATGAAACCTGTTTCGGGGATTACAACCTGGAGAACATCCTGATTCGGTAACGCAATCGGCGTTTACTTTGGACGTGCTGTATTCTTCTATTGAAGGCTTTTATGCGGTCTATGTGAATCCAGAACATGTCTGTAGGCTTGGGCTTGCATCAATACACGACAAGGATGGAAATTACTGGCTTCCACAGGTCATAGGAAGCAGAAGTAAACTCTCAAGTGCCTTCGCAACTTTAAACCACAGGTGCGTGTGTGGCGCTTCCCAAAGCGGGGCTTGTTGGCAGCAGCCACTTTGAATTCGATTCACCTCATGCGGAAAAATTGTTTTTGATGTGTTTCGGACCGAATATAAGAGTAAACAAGTGCGACGATGTGAATGTGACTCGAGGCTTAAGTAGAAGCTACAAAGAAACCAATTCGTCGAGAAACGAATTTTGAAAAATGATTAGGTGCTCGTTAGGAAGGGCTGAACCTGCAGTTTGCAGCCATGCCAAAAGTTTGCCACAGAAATAAAAAAAAGAATGTAATGATCTCGAAGACAGGCATTCGCACGAAAAAAATGCAAACGGGGATTTTCAACAAAATAAGCGTCACGGAACATTTGATGCTCTTCAAATAGAGGGATTTTCGTGGTTTTCCATTTTTTCACAGCTATTTGAAGAGTCTCTTTCTAAAAAAGTAAAGGGCTTTCAAAGGTGGAGGTGCGCTTTCTTAGAAATTTGGATTTTTCGCTTCATAACAGAAGCACTTACTGGCATATGAGGTAATATTGGTAGTTTTCTGAAAGCGGACGCCATCTATGTCCCAAATCAACCTGAACAAGAAATTATGATTTCAACATATTCATGCCTCATTGAAATATCTTTCTAACCGCACTCCGATCTCTCACTGCCTAGTGAATGGCGCGCTCCCAGGGCAATGCCACAGCCGCCGTTTCTCGGAGACCTTAAAGTTTCATAGTCTATTATTTTTGTTCACCAACAAAACAACGAGAGGGGTCGCACCGGGATCCTTAGTAAGGGGTGGAGTCGCAAAAATGATGAAACAGTGCGAACCTGATGACCCTGGTTCTCATCAGTACTCGTGCGAAATTACTCTGTAAGCTGTGGTGTCAAAACGATAATTGCCTTTCGAGTAAATCACTAGTTTCTTCTGGTGGTTGTGGTTACTCATTTGGTTCCTGTTGTTTCGGAGACAAGTAGCACTGTTATACCAGCCACTCAACAAAGGCCGTTACAGATTGACGCAATTGTCTATATGCTAACCAATAGTAGCGCATCATAAGAACCAGGCGAATTGTGGAAGATTTTTCACTGAAAGCAGTTAGCAAAGCGATTAGCAGAGAGCTTTCGCTTGTTTTTGTTCGGTAACTGCTGGTTTTTGCCACAGTTCGCCTTACAAAATTTCGCAACAGCACTGGAACGGTTAAAAAAAGATGAAAAAAGAGACGAAAAAACCCCAGCCTAGGTCGGGACTCTCGACTCGGACCCTCCCCTCTCGCTTACTCCGGGCAAGTGCGCTACGAATTACGATGCTGGGCACCTCCTCGTATTTATTCAGCTTCTCGCGGTATAATTTACCATAGCTTATCAGCGATCACACGGATAAGGTGATGAGCCAGTTAGCTGATGCAGTCAATGACCGCGATGCTAAAATCGTTAGCAATTAGTTTTGACTTGTTTATCGTTAACTGCTGTTGGCCGCACTTGATAGTCAAAAACAAGCCGAACTCAATTGCTCATCGCATTGCACGTGCGAATGTTAATAAGTTGCGATGAATGATACCTTGAAAAGGCGGCTGAGGACGAAACCATTTTGTAGCGCACTTGCTAGCAAGAGGTGAGGGTTGGAGTCCATCTCTGATTATAAAGTCGCTGTTATAGTTACTAGGTCATAGATACTGTTTCGTGAAGCAAATTAGACAACTATCTCGCAGAAGCAAACTATCTGATGTTTTTACCATTGTAGCGCAACAGAATCGCTACATGGTGGCGGCTTCACTTTATTTGGATATATTCACTCTCAAATTTTATATCTTATCCCGTTTTCAGGTGATTTGAGAATTACACCCCAATATCACAATATCGTAAAAGACACAATTATGTCGATGCTTTCAGAATAATATGGAAGGCGATTTCTATAAATTGGGACCAGACGCAAATGAGAACTTTGGGTTGCCGTATGACTATGGTGACATTATGCATTATCCCGCAGACTAGTACGTTGCATGTATAGTATTTGTCTAAGTTCTCACTTATATGTACCATGTTGTCAGAAATGTCTTTGTGCATTTGTGTTGATCGTTTTCAAACTACTTCTTCTTATTTATAACACCCAACAATCGACAAATAGATGCATCACCGTAATCTACGTAATATTATCTTCCAGAGAGCAATTCCTGGTTGCCGATCAGGAATTCTAAGCTCTCAAAGAACTCAACCAAGTCCTCTCCGCGTATTTCTGGATCATCGAACTACCGCTCTTACAGTTGATCCGGCAACAACAGAGGTGATGGTAGTCTGCTGGTGCATCTGCTGAGCAAACCAGACGAGTAGATCGCCTTTTCAGGTGCTTGAGGACTTTTACTAGATCTGTTTCATAAATGGTGGACGAGCATTGCCGGGATGAAGTAAACTTTGTCATGTTTTTCGAGCACAGTGCCAGCGAGCCTCTCCATACCTATTTGTATTGTTCCACAATAGCAGTGGAATTAGTGGGCAAGAGCTTACGGTGAACGCTACCTTTGCAGCTTCACTGGCTCCGAAAGTTGTCTTCCGCTTCTGGTTTGAGGTTGAAATTCTTCGTTGTATGCGTCCGAGCCAGTGGTGCTTCCGGGTGTAATGTACGTGAAAAACATACTTCTTGTCACCTCTAACAAAGTTGCTGTATCAAATACGAGGCAGACATAAATCAAGATGTTCATGTGGAATTTCGTTTTCTTAGTAACTTGTGGTCAGCTTTATCACGTATCCTTTCGTAGTACTTTCACTTTCTTTCGGGCCAATAATGACGAATGGCTAGTGTGCTCCGATAACGCCGGAAAAGCTCGGCCGCTTAACGTGCTTTGCGCAATGGATTTTTTCCATAGAGCTCCACAAGACACTTTATCTTCAGTGCAGCAGGTTCATCATTCTTGTGATATTCCTCTACTTCCTAAACCTCTGCGAGTGGATCACGTGCCGTGAAAGACAGGTTGGAGGTCCTCTTAACGCTTTGGCTTTCTGCTGATTCGCCTTGCCTTCAAGGGATCAGTTTTTGGGTTTCTCAAAGCAGGAGCAGTCAAAAATGCTTTCAGTGGAAGGCGATTTTACCGCTATAGTCGCTGCTACGCTGCGATGCTCTGAAAGGTCGCTGACCACCGTTCATATAAGTTCAAAGTCTCAAAACGATCCTCAAAGATTTTGCAAGATGAGGTAGTAATGCGCAAGGACTTTTCCGACAACCTAATTAACTAGAACGACTTTGAGTTATAACAACGTGATGTTGTCGGAACTCATCTTATATAATAGTAAGTAGCCCTGGTGTGGCAATGGAACTGACAACGCATGAGGTATGTAGTAGTTAAATTTGAAGTTGTGTCTCTAGTACAGCGTTTTAGTACAACGTTCAACGGAGCACCGGCAATAGTGCCAAAAGATGAGATGTATATGCAGACGCTTGGGTCTCCATTCATTTCATTCAATGAGTATTCCATGATGAACGAACTCTACGGCTGCAAAGGTATAACTTGCTCTTCTCCTAAAAAATTGTTCCAACATCTTATAACCTGCAGACGAATTATTCTATTGGCTTTACTTACAATCGCAACAGTCTGTTGTCCAGCTTTTCTTCGCTACTCAGATTACTTGTACGCGGTGAAACTCCGGTCCGGAGGGCACTTCCTGTTACCTTCTTTAGAACACTCCTCTGGACTTCAACACTATGGATAAGAAATGGATAAACGACTCGCTTCTAGTGAACCTTTGATAGGGATCGGTGTACGCCCACATCACGCACATCCTGCTCACATCCTAGGCAATTTATGGTACTTGATCGTCCACCCTGAGCTCCTACACCCTAGTGCTTGGGAATGGATGTCCACACCCTTAGGAACTTTTCCTTGGATCACAGCAGGCCGAAGTATGGAAGCAACTTAGGAGTAATCCGCACTACACCGGCCATTATCAGAAGTAATTTTAAAGGACGAATTCGTGATCAGAATGAAGGTTGAAGAAGGAGCAATTCACCTAGTTGAGGGACCCGCGGACCTCCTGAATGTGCGGACTGAAGCGCAAATGGCACCAAAGTAGTTGACCTCGGCGACTTAATAAGGCTCAATCTTGGCGCGGTACGTCAGTGCACGCCCACCAACCAGCTGATCACTCGCCGTAGGTAGCGATTGATTAGATAGCAGAGAGAGCGTAGTGTTGAAGAAGGCACAGCATAGTGAGTCGCATAAATGCGCAAACTAACGGGGAAGGAAGAAGTCTAGTTTCTCGGGTTCTAGGCCGTTTCTCATGATTTTTCCTTCTTTAGTGTACCACTCAGCACTCATAAGTTAATTTGAAATGGATTTCCAGCGTGAATTCGTCCTTTAAGTGAATTGACTACGTGCATGGAAATTTTTATCCTTATCCCCAGACTTGGATAGCACAATATCACATATACTCACCGCCTCGTACTTGTCATTTGAAAGCTTCTTGTGCTCAATTTTCAACTGAGCATTGACGTTGATGGTCGTTTCAAAATTCTCTTGAAAGTAGTAGATGAATTCTTATCTCAACGACCAATGTACATTACTGCTCCTAGTCCTAGTTGAAAATTGTACACGTTGCGACTGTTTTGTAGCGCCACAAACTGTCGCATCATCATAACTTCCACAAAGCGGGTCAAATGAAAGGATCTTTACAAAAATGGACTTGTATCTTTGTGGCGAGTCTAACCATGTGCAAAACTACCGCCGTGTTAAAGTTGTAGCAGGTTATTACATGGGAGCTATTGTCGATCCCTCTTTTGACAGTCTCGCCTCTCTTCATTCCCATTATCTCTCCGATCGGGACTAGTTCTTAGCCACCGCCTTGATGGCTTCACAACGCCTTCACCACTTACTCGGCCCCATTTTGGATCACCAGATGTTTCGCATATTTTCCACGTTGAACCAGTGCAATTGCGTACAGCAAGCGATTACAGCACCCTCACGCCTAGTTCTGCTATCGTTGCAGTGAACCTTTATAGTAGTGCACATCAACTCACAAAAAATTCTACTCTGCAAAAATGCAGTCCATGTCAGTCCATGTGGACACTCCTAATCAGACAGCGAAATATGTTTGTAAGAAACAAACACTCACCATAACCATTTATGTAAAAAAATTAGAATCGCGGAAAACAGTTTTGCATTGATGGCATAGGAAATGTTTTGCTCTCAGGGTCTCAGCGGAATTTATTACCCTCGAATTCATCCTCGTCTGCTAGGCCCAGTCCGCGTGGAGATGCCCCACTTGAGTACACTAGAGCTTTAAAAAGGTAAAGGAATCTTCCACGGACCATGGACCAGTGGGCGGGACCGGAAGTGTGTGACGAAATGCATGGTGGGTACGGATCCACGTTCATGGGAAGGTTTGAAGTGAATCCTGTTCACGTTCATGCGTTCGACACGGGATCCGTACCTACCAGCGTTTCGTCACAAAAACTTCCGGTCCCGCCACTGGTCCATGGTCCGTGGAAGATTCCTTTAATTCACCAGAAATAAAACGCTTCTGTGAGCGGGTTATTTCCAATCGAACTGCATGATATTCCATAGAAATCAATCATGGAAAGAATAAACAAATCATATGGCTTACTATCTACCGAAGTGGGCTCTCATTTTTAGCACAAGCATTTTATAAAGATACGTTCGTGTCACGTTTTAATGGTTTCTGGGTAGTAGGCGAGGTTTCAACCTTCGAGTCGCTCCCTGCACTGCATAAAAATGGCATCGGTGATTGTTCTAGTGCGAACCATTATAAATATGTAGCAGATTACATTATGCTCATCGTTAGGAAGTGAATGGATTACGAATCAGAGTGGCTTCCAGGCACGCACATTGTGTTCCACGATGTGTAGAACACCTCTCGGTGCTCGCCACTTTTTCGGAAAGGGAAATCTATGGCTAACTTAGTACATTATTCAGAGCTTCCAACACTGGTGCCGTCGTTGTCATCAATTACAAATGTCCACGACAGAACTGGCATGAGAGCAGTGTAATCGCTAATCGCGTTACGCAATTTCACGGGTAGGATGGGAGATATACGTAATATCTGGTGATCCAAAATGGAGCCGAGTTCGTGGCGAAGGGCTCGAAGGAGGGCGTTGTGAAATCATCAAGGCGGTAGCCAAGAGCTGGTCCCAGATTTGAGAAATAGTTTGAATGAGGAGGAGCAAGACTGTCAAACGAGGGATCGACAATAGTTTTCATGAGATAATTCGTTAAATTCAACCAAATCAGTGGTTTCCTCATTGTCAGGCTCGCACACAAAGAGACGAGTCCATTGCTGTAAGTTCCTTTCATTACCCGCTATCGAGGAAGTCAGACGATGCGACTTTTTGCGACGCTACAAACTGTCGCAAAGTGTAGAATTTTCAAAATTTGGAGCAATGTCATAAGTCGTTCAATTTTGTCGGTTCTTCAACATGATTGACGAATTCCTCGAGAATATGTTTGTCACATTTTCTTCACTGATCTTTTGAATGTTTGTTGCAGAGCTTTGCAAACCAGACACCTCAGCCAAGTGCGAGATGGGCGGATTTCCTCATCCTCGAGACTGCACGAAATGCATATGTCCCTCGGCTACGGCGGAGATCTATGCAGTGAGAGAGTGAGCAACACTTAGGTCAAAAAACATTAGCGAAACCGTGTTATTCTATCTTTCCTTGAACCCATGGCTCATTCCTGTCTTCCCGATAACAACCATGAGACCAGGAAATCATCTGTTGCGGTAAACAAAATATCGCAAAAACGACAAAATTACTGCCTGCCAAAAATCTCGCTACAAAAATAGGTTCACTTTCCTGTTCATACAACATGAATTCGAAAATTTGAATTTTTTAATTCCTTTCTAAGCGTCACCTGACGCGCGAGTGCTCCCTACGGTATTTTATTCATACCTCCTCTTGGCTCTACCGGGTACCCACGAACAGTCTAAAGAAATTTTCAGTGGTTTTGTTTCCTTCCCAAATCAAAGTCCTATGAAAATTTTTACGTAGCCTTCACTGGCTGCACTCAGCGTATTTGAATGGGAGGGTTTGGTAGGAACCCAGCAACTTTCCGTGTATGATACCTTTGAGTGGGGTAGAAGCTCTCGAGAAAGAACCTATTGCTTCAGCCACCAGGATGCGGCGCAACAGTTCAAGCTTCCTCGAACTGGACGACTCTGTGGACACTTTAATTCACAGCACAGAAGGTCAAAGCGAATATACGATGTGTAACTACTGATTGAAGTATGTCCCATGCTTTAATGAAATTCATGCATAATTATCTATCGCTCGTTAATATTGTTAGCGCTCTAGTACCTCACCAATTAACTACATAGCAGTGACAGTATTTTACTCACCCCAGTCCAAAATAATAATTTGGAAACCCTAGTCTCCAAATGGAACAACAATCGAGGTGAAGGTTGGTGAATACCCGTCGGGTTATTCTGATTACGGATGCAAATTTTCTGGGCTCGAAATCAAAACCAACAAGGATCAAACACTCACTGGCTACAGGTACGTCACTATAAGCGTTGCAGTATAAAAAAGCGTGAAGTAAAATGGTAAGTGTTGTTATCTTCAACAAAAAATCGTCCGTGTTGAGGTCTTTTTAAGGGACAAACAGATTTTTTATTTAAAGAAAACACGAACAATGAGAAGGAACAAAGCGTTGTATTTTCTAACTTCCATTTACTCTTACCTCGACACATGCTTTATTTGCATTTTACCATTACACTCCATCACAAAATAAATAGCTACGATAAATCAAAAGTGATTGAAGGTGGTGTACTCCTGAAGTTGCTGGAAAAGGTGTTTCGTTCTCACACAAACCGCGTGCCAGTGATCACGTACACCAACGCTTTTTGGGGACCCATAAGACTGTCCTTGAATACAGATATGGTACTGGTTGCCTTTTTTCCACATGGTTGTGAGTTTATTAAATAAAACCATTTAGTTCCTGCAAGATCAGATGCTTGAGGAGTCCCTTCGGATGGCCACTCTTGCTGACTAACGGATGATATTGTGTTGAGGTCACGTTAGCTAATCTGTTTCTACTGTGATAATATTTTCAATAATAAATTTATTTTTGTTGAACCTCTATATTTTCCGAGCCAACCGCCCATATGGGGCCTTTAAGCTACGGTAGCCACCACAGCTATTTTCTCGTGGCTTTCGCACCATTTTAGAATCTGCTGTATTCAGAGGATGACTATGGCAAGAGCTCCCGAAAGGATTAGCGACAACGAGTTGCTGCTCTTCTTGCTTTTTGTCCCAATTGGGATTTGATTAGAGTATGTTCAACAGCCTGCACTGCATTATCTGGCCACGCTCGGCGACGGGCGAATTTTCGGAAGATGCACAGTTCAGTGAATTGGGAGATATTGTACGTGAGGGCGATAGGTACAGATTTGGG